GTAAGGTAGATTTCTCAATAGGAAAAAAAAGGATATAGAAATTAGTTCATATATATTAAAGAACCATTTGATCAACTATACCAGTCAAGAAAGAGAATGGAAAAAGTAAGGATAAATAAGAAAAGAAATAGAAAAGTTCTGCTGTTACTATTTCGCTTAATTGCCTGTGCCAACTCCTTTTCCCCACACTCTTTGCAGCTTCAATGGCCTGGTAATATTAGACACAACAAGAGAAAACAAAGGCTGATAATAATGGAGAGTAAAATAATGAAATAATATGCAGAGGCAGGAGCTTCTTCTCAAATCAGTAACAAAGTATTGATTAATAGAATGGTGGTAACAGGATTGATACACTTGCGGATGCACTGTTCTTTTGTGTTCATTCATTTGCAGCCGAAAATACTACACATATAGTGTAATTGAGGAATTAATTGTCTACTGCAGAGTGCTTGTTTTATATGGAAAAATAAATCACAGTCTGTGAAAAGGGTAACACCTTTAACCAAATAAATTCATATTAATTAACGAGAAATTTAAAAAATTTACCAACCTGCTCATATAAATGCTCAATTTGCTAAGCCTGTTGTAGGACGTGAGTGGACATGAGATGATTAAATGCTGACATCTCCACCATCTTCGATTCCGTCTCTTGAGCAGCATATAGAAGGCTTGTTAGTTCAACCTGTTCAAAAGGGGAGTAAAGAAAATCTATTATATCATATCATACTTCCTTTTAAAAGTACGAGGAAAAAAATCTTTCTATGATCATTATTACCCTTAGTTTTTTTTAAATATTACAATGTTATCCTAATATATTCTAATTATTATATCTTCTTTGAATTGATAACTAAATGGTTTATTCTATTCATAATGAGACTTAACATGTTATTGGATAAAACAGATACGTTTCATATAAATCAAATTCTTTACTTATTTCAGTTTGTAGAAAAATCTAAAAAAGACATGCTAGCCAACACCTAAAAGTTTTTGGACTTTGTAAAAAATATTCTCCAAGTTATTTAAATTACAAAAACACCCCTACAAATTAAAAAAATTTATTAAAGCGTCTTGAAAATTATAAAATTTGCTTATTTTAATTCAGTGAGAAATTAAAAAATTATATGCTAGCTAGAAACTGAAATTTTTTTGACTTCGGAGAAAACATCTTATAAGTTTTGAAATTGTAAAAACACCCCTAAAAATTCAAAATTTATAAAAAAACATCTTGAAAATTTTAAACCTATAAACACACTAAAAACCTGCAATCGAACCTCAGTGTATCCAGATGAGAGAGCTGCAGCGTGAACAACATCCTTAAATCTTCACTTCACTCTCCAGTTTTGGCCATCTCCTTCTCTTCAATCCAGTCTTCACTTTCTCCAAAAATTTCCTTAAATTAGTAAAAAAATTTAAAAAATAAACTTTCTTTACATTTCAACAATAAAGATAGATAATAAGGATCTTGAACAATACCTGAATCTTTACTTGGAGACCGGAAGAGAAATAATAACTAAAAAAGAGAGGCTTAAAAGTGAAAGCATGTGTTCGAAGAAATGGATTCTTTAGAACGGACTTTCCAATCTCTCGGTCCCATTAAGCTCTGTTTGGTTTGTTAGAAAGGGAGAGAAAGGAAAGTAAAATAAAAGAGAAAGTGTGTTTCCACCGTTTAATTTGAAAAAAAAACAAAAAACAAAATATTTCTTAAATTATGAAAATATTTCATCTATAAAAACCTAAGACCCTGTTTGGATTGAGGGTAATGGGGGTGAGGGGAAGAGAGGGTAACTTTTAACCTTGTTTGAGAAGTAAATATAGCAAGTTAATAGGGGTGAGGGGAGGTGAAATGAGGTGAGAAAATACCATGATTTCTTCCCCCCTCAATTTTGGGGTGTAATGGGGGTGAAGGTAAAGATGGGGAATACAACAAATATAGAGAGATATATTTACCCCTAGCTAAGATCAAAATCCAACGGCTAAAATTTTAAAAACAAATGTGAGGATATTTATGTAAGGGTATTTATGTCAAGTTATATACATTCCCTTCCCTTCCAGTTATTATACTTTTCAAACGAGGTGAAATAACTTCCCCTTGATTCACCTTACTAGTTTCCCAAATAAGTTTTTCATTCCCTTTACTTAACTTCCTCTAGGTTCCCTAGGTTCCCTTCACGCCCTCCAAATCCAAACAAGCCAAAAAAAAAAAAAAAAAAAAAAAATCAAAAAAAACAAAAAAAAAAAAAAAAAAAAAAAATTCACCGTAGAAAAACCAATATACATTTTTAGTTTTCCGCTTTTTCTCCCCGCTGCACTAGTGAAAACGAGGGGAGAAACGGAATCGCCTTGCTCGTCGCCTCCCAACCTGACCCCGATCTCTCGCCTCTCCCTCCAAAACTCGCGTCCATCTTCTTTCTCTTTCTATCTCTCGCCTCCTCGTTCTCTCCTCTCTCTCTCTCTCTCTCTCTCTCCCATCTCGATCTCAATCTCCTTGAGATCTCTCTCGTCATTCTCTCGGATCTCTCTCCCTCGACCTCTCTCGGATCTCTTTCATCTCCGCTGCCGGCATCCCGCCGCGCCACCACCGTGGCCGCCTCCTCCTAAAACTCATCGAGGTAACCCTAATCTCTCTCTACCTTTCATTAATTTTTACCTTTTTAAGAAAAATCAGAGGTCTATTTTGATCTAAGAGAGGAAGCCAAGCCGTTGTCGAGTTCACCAACACTTGAAAGGTATCAAAATCAGCCCACATGATCTTCAATTAGGTCTTGCTTTCTAAGTGTTTGATGAAACGCTCCTTAGACTTTTTTTAATCAAAACTTGATATTTTTGCATTTCATTTTTGCTATTTGTTGTTCTTAATTGTTTTATGAACCATATCATGCACTCTTTTATGGATGGTTGCTTATTTTCACGACTTTAGTAAAAGTTGACAGCTTTTGGCTTAGGCAACCATGGCTTTCATCTTCGGTTTGACATTGAATGTGATTCCACTATCACTTGGGACTTCAACATATTCTTCCAATTTTGGCTTAAAATACCCACATTGATTTCCATTCCAAAAGAAGGTGACATGACAAAATTTGACTCTCTTTCTGCCGGATAAAAATACAATATACTTTTAAATGTGCATATACCATATAAATTATGTAGGCAGGTGAGAGTGTATTTGTGTGTTTGTATCGTGAATAGAATTTTGAACGCCAACATCGCAAAATTTTCTTACACCTAAAGCTGACATTTTACAGTAGAGGAAGAGAGGATAAGACTAAATTAAGTAAATTAAGTTTAGAGATCCTTATCCCCTCTTCTATGCTTCTATATTTATTTCTTCTATATTCTGTAACTCTTATCTACGATGATAAATATTATAGATACAATTGAATCACAAAAAGATATTATATATGCATGTACTATCCTACATAGTTTTCTAATGGGTGTTGATCCTGACGAGGGACTTCTTGAACAAGTTGATCAGGAAGTTTTGAACCAGATGATAGATGTTGAAGAAGCTCCTGTAAATGATAATGAAGAGTATAGATGAGGGGAGATTCTAAGGCAACAAATAGCCGATGATATGCGGAGAGATTATTAGAAATATTTTCATTATTGAAATAAAAATTAAATGTCATTTATTTGCTCTATTACAGGAGGCTAAGAACTAAACCTTGAATATTAGCATTTAGAATCTCTGTTCCTTTCTTTTTCTTTCCAGAATTATGAGTTGTCTTGCCTTGATAATTATTGAGTTGCTATTTTTATGAAGCTTGGCATGCACATATTTGATACTTCTGTATGAACATGATGCACTATTTGCATGGAACCCTCTGTTATTGTCTAGTCTGGCTAACATAACTTCATGCCAACATTCATGTATACACATATTAACATATGCAATGTTATCTGTGCATGCTTGCATTTGTTTGTGGAGGCAAGATTACCTAATGATAATTGTGGCTGAAATTTATGTGGCTGAAATTCTTTCTTGCAATAACTTAATATCTTGGAAGTGAACTGTCTATTCATTTCCCATTTCTCTATTGCTAATGATATATTTATGCTTAACAAATAGGCAATATTACCTAATGATAAATGTTTCTATATTTTTGACATGAATGTCTTGATTTTGTTTCCGAGCTGAGATTTGGATGTGTATCATGGCGCAGTTGATTGTATCTATATTTGGTTACTGTTAATGGGCTTATTTACTTCTTTGAAGTATTTGATAATTTTGTTGTTCTTTTGGCCTTTTTATGTTATATATGCCGTTATACCACCTTGTAATAGATTATCAAAGAAGAATCTGGCAGTTTGGTACTGAATAAGCCACTGCTTGGTGGTGTCATTATAGATAAACTGGATTTCACAAGCTTTCCTAACTAGTTGCTCTTTCTTGGATGGAAAAGTTGACATGTCGGGTACAACACTTGATCTCTGCTTACAGGTAGTGGAAACATGTTACTGTTATATTGTTGAAAATGGTACCATGATTCATCTTTCTGAAAACATCCACGAATTGATACAACATGCAACAGGACCTCCACGCACACAATGTACACAAACTGAAATTTTCACTATATTTTATGCACAAACTGAATATCTCACTATGTTTTATGCATTGTACATAAAATTGATTTATGTTAATCAATCCTCTGAAACACATATACAGGAATATGTACATAAAAGACATTTGTGCTCTACACATACAACAAACATTGACAAACTGAAATTTTCATTCTATTTTAAACATTGTACACAAAATTGATTGATGTTAATCAATCCTCTCAAACACAGCGGCAGAGGAATAATTTGTCACATTCTCTTATACACAACATAATCTGTCTCATTTTCTTTTGTTGGTGTTGTCAAACTTTCCCATCATTGCATTTGCAACAAGTGTTTGCGTCCTCATTTAGTATCTTTTTAAACCTATAAGTATGCATATAATAAATGTCCATAAGGATGTTAATCCCCAGCCTGGACCTGTCCTGTATGGATGGTTCTGTATTGTGTCTAAAAGCTCGACCTTTGCATGGAATTGGGTAGAGTCTGTGCACTACTTACATGGAGTCATCTGTAGCCCACAAATAATGTTCTCTCAAAGTCTGTTCTTTCGAACCGGAAATAGTATTCACACTTCTTAGTTATTTTTTATTGGGTTTCATCTGTAGCCCACAAAGTATCCAGCCCAACTAAGAAATACTTTTGTACTGGCCCAATAAGAACTATATCGTAGTCACTCTGTTCTTTCTTTCTTCCCCTGTTGGAGAGGAATCAAGAAGCCGAAAGTGACGAGCATCAGCAGAGATCGAAGAATTTGAGGTTTTTGATCTTTATAAATTTCGATATTTAATTAAGTATCTTCCTGTTTATTTTTACCATTATGCATCTTGTTTTTTTCCCCGTACCCAATTCTGAATCAGGCGAGTTAGGGTTTACTCGTGAACTAGATCTCTTTATTATTATTATTTGCCTTACTTTTGCCCCCAATATCACCTTAATTTTTTCTAAAATGTGACTGTGATCAACATCTCGACTTCAGGCTGTTGCTTTTTTCAGTTTCGATTATAATCATATTTTGAATTTTCTAGATACTTTCAGCAATTAATGAAGGGGGAAGGGAATGATTGGATCTTTGTGTTATGTCCTAGTAATGTATAATTGAAGGGGTCAAACCATTAAGATACATTGATAACGCGCATAGAGATGATGAGGGAGAAGAGAGAAGTACAGAAGGGGGAGCTTAGAGGATGGTTTATAAGATCAAGCAGGCTAATGGACCTTCTTTCTTTTCAAATCGGTGAGTTAGTAACTGTATACCATGTCATTATTTGTTAGAATGATCAGAGTTGTGTATGTCGCATAGAGATGGGTTCCTTGGAGTTTTATCGGCCATGATTGTCATTAAAGCATTTTTACTATTATGTCTGTGTAAACAAAGAAAGAGAGAAGTACGCTAGGAGAAACTAAGAAGTGTTAGAGGATGAAACAGGCTAATTGCTTGTATTTCTTGTGAGACGGATGAGGTCGCATAGAGATGGGTTTCTCTTCTCTCATGTTTTAAACTGCCGCTGTCTCCGACATAGCAACACACACGACTCATTCTCTTCATCTCATGTTCGACGGGCGGATTGCTGATCGAAAGGTGCTGATGACGAGGATCTCACTTCCAAACATTTCACAGTTAGGCTTTCTCTTTCTCATCTTATGTGTTCGACGAGCGGAAGCCTTTGTAGATATGACGATGAGATTGTAGGAGGGGTTTAATCAAATACCCACGAATAATTGACGAATGGAAGTGTAGATATACGAACTGAATTTGAATTCAGTTTAGTATTCGAGTTGAATTCGACCACGGATTTGAATATCACAATATGAATCGAACTCGGATGCGAATATCAATATTGTGATATTCGATTCGATTCGGTCGTTTACCACCCCTTAGTGATAGGGTAGCATGCGAATATGATGTAGCAAGCTTTTCCGTATATGTTTTGAATAGATCATGGTTGTGTGTGTGTACGATGATGCAAGCTTCTCATCTTCTCCACATTTCCCCTTCTCATACTTGTGTACTTTTTTTGTTTTCTCATGTTGTTTAGTGGACATTCTTTTTATATAGTAATATGTTCCTCAAAGGCTCAATCAATATCCACACAATTATTCTCTTATTCTTTAGGATTTTTATTAGTCCATTAGAACATGGAGTGATGAAAAACGAAGGTTATTTTGTTTTGTGATTGTTGCCGTCCTTCTTGGCTATGAATTCATTCAACAAACAGCATTTCAACCCCTAGAAGTGGTAATAAGGTTTCTCTTGCAGCATAACAATGTAAACATTTTCAGATTACCCTCGAACTGTCGCCTTTTTATTTGAAATCAGAGATAACTATCTAGCTTCAACATTTTTATAATTACCATATGGAGACTTTCAAGGTACCAAATGGCCGTGCTAAAACCCATCATGTTTTCACTTCCTTCCGATAAATACAGTCCCCAATGTCTTATGGATTATAATGTTCTGTTAGCTATACTCTGAAATATAAATTTATACATTATGAGTGTTGTTTCACAATTTACAACCTTGTTATTCTCTTCTGTTTATGGTGTTCTCTCGAAGTTTTCAGTTGCACAGTTCCTCTCGTTCCAGTAGCAGAACACGCCTAGTAACTTTGTCATGAAAACTGTATTTGCAGTATGCTTTCATTTCTTTTTCATGCCACCTCTTTTCTTGGCCAAAAGAATATGTTCTTCTTGAACTTGAAGCTCATTGTTCCATATAGCAACATAACTTTGTATGAGTCTGATAATCTGTTCTCATGTTTAAATGCAGAAGCATTACCTTCAAGAATGGGGTTGTGGACATTGCTCGAAGGCTTTCTGCTTCTTGCAAATGCGCTGGCAATACTGAACGAGGACAGGTTTCTTGCACCTAGAGGATGGAGCTTCTCAGATGTCTCAGGACTCCAACGAGCCAAATCATTGAAAGGGCAGCTCATAGGGCTCATCTATGCAACTCAATATCTGAGAGTACCCCTCATAGTTCTCAATGCTATTACCATCCTTGTGAAGCTCGTTTCTGGATGAGATTTAGCTTGGATTTTCTGCTTGTGGGTGAGAAACAATATTTTTGTGGCCTGTATTGTACGTGACATTAGACGTTGTTTACGTTTGCCGTTGAATTATGTATCAGCTTGCAATTATGTATGAAAAAATTGGAGATATAAAATTAGTGAACGACTGTCAGGTGTTTTGCTAATTATTTTTTGAAATTCAGTTTGGGTGGTTGTTTAAACAAATTTGGACAGTTTAATACAGATTTGTGTAATTGTTGGATATTTGTTGAACGCATACTCATTCTACCTTTTAAAATTTCAAAATTTTACATGCACGTGCACTTCCACAATCCCTGGTTATTCATGTTCTGCAAGGAAAAAACACTCCCATTTGCTCGCCCATATTCAGTGTCCAGGTACTCATACATTGGACTAGCAAATATCTGAAGATAAATAAAGAAGAGCTTTGCTGAAGGGACTCAAAATATGTGACCAATAGAGGGGACAAGTGAGGTTATCATTAATGAGTTGGTTATCATTAATGATGACCAACTCATTATCTAATGGGGGGACAACCTCACTTGTCCCCCTATTGGTCCCATATTTTAGGACCTTGAGGAATTTTTCAATAAAAAAAGAAATGTCAGAATATCTGTGACTATAATGATCCATAATCAAAACAAACTCAAATAAGGTTAGAAGTAGGAGAGATTACATGCAAAGCAATGACTGTCTGTAAAAAGGCTGCAGCATTTGTCATTGTCTCCGCCCAAATGGGGCCATTCACGCTATTGAGAAGGTAAGTCGATGTGGAGGATCCATATAAGCCCAATACCCTGCAAAAGTAACAGCATACAGTGGCAGTCCGCCAACTGTGGACTGAAACCAAAGAGCTTTTTGTCCGTGTTCTTGATAACGGGAGGCTTCTGTAATAAGAAGAGAGGAATGCTGTAATCCCTGTATCTCAGGCAGCATTCCTGTATTGTAAGCAAATACGGGACTTGCCACAGCACCAACGGTACTAAAGATCTTACTTGTATGTGATCCTGGAATGCTGTAATCCCTAGAAGGAGGACTTATTCCTGTATCCATATTTTATCTGCGGCAGAAAACCCTTTTTAATCCTTTCCTCATAGAGGTTATCCAATTCTTATCTCTTTTAGAAGGACACCGATAACAATATCATAAAGTAGTAACGAGGCACCTCTTTGGATTTCTAACCATTCCAGCTAGTTCTCTAAAATTTAAAATATTCATACGGTCAAATATGTCACCAAATATTGAACAAATTTTTAAATTGGACCCATTTAGAAATTTAATTGACAAAACAACCCATTTCCAATTTAATTGTCAAAATCGACTTAGTTTTGACTTAAAACTGAATTGATTTTAAAGAAAAAATTTATGAAACTTCAGGGGACTTCAAGGTCAAGTCTCGTGAGGCAAGTCCCGTGAGGCTTAAGCTCTGATAATTAGCTTGATTAGGGTTGCCCAAAACGAGACTTAACTACCTGAAGTTTTATAGCCGCACGCTTCATGAAGTTACAGTCTCAATAATTTCAATGGATAAATTTTCAAAACCAACCTATTTGAAAATTTAATCCCAGAAAACAACCCCTTTCAAACTTAATTGCAAAAACCGACCCGGTTTCAGCTTTGGCGCTGAAACCAGGTCGGTTTTTGTGAAAAAACTTTAAAAACTTTACGGGAGTTGAACTCCCGTGAAGTTTAGTAAAACTTCTAAACTTCACGGGAGTTGAACTCCCGTAAAGTTTCGCAATTCAAAAAAAAATTGAACTACAAAACTTCGCAGTTCAAAAAAAAAATTAAACTACAAAACTTCACGAGAGTTTAACTTCAAACTTTACGGGAGTTCAACTTCCGTGAAGTTTCGGATAAATTTTTTTAAAAACCGACCTGGTTTCAACCAGGTCGGTTTTTAAATTTTTTTTGTAAAAACGGTCGTTTTTTAAAAATAAATAGGAAAAAGGACAAATTTTCAAAACCAACCCTTTTTCCTATTTATTTTTAAAAAACGACCGTTTTTACAAAAAAAATTTAAAAACCGACCTGGTTGAAACATAGACAAGAGTAAAGCAACCCTCGTCCCCTTCAAGAGTAAAGCAATAAAGAAGCAAAAGCCCTCGTCCCCTTCCCACACTCAGCCTCAATTCCCCTCCCTCTCCATCGACAAGCCGGTCCATCTCGGATCCGACGCCGACGGCGTCGATGAGCGCCGGAGCGAAACCCTAACCCTAGCTTAGCCGGCCGCGATCCCTTCAAGGCCGCCGGAATCCTCACTTCGACGATGAAACCCTCGGAATCGAATAATGGAGGCGGGAATAAGAAGAATAAGAAGAAGAAGAAGAAGCGGAATCCCTCGTTATCTTCATTCCCTCAATCCAAGCAAATACCCCATTGGGGATCAGACACTGAAGAAGTGGATGAGCAGAATGAAACCCTAGACCTAAATTGGCTTACTGGAGCGTTTACTTCTCTCTCATTTGATCAGATTGCCTCGGCTTACACTTAGTATCCCGAGTTGGCTATGCCGAGTTGGTTGAAACTGAGTCGATTTTGGTAATTAAATTAGAAATAGGTCGTCTTTGATGATAAAATTTCTAAACAGGTCGAAATTGAAAATTTGTCATAAAATATTTGTACAGAACTGACAATGGGTCTAATGGTTTAGCAGTAAAGATTAATTTTACCTTTCTGAAGTAGCTGATTGATCTCATATTGTTTTCATTTATACAGATTTATTATTTAATATTTCAAAATTCATATGAAGTAGCTGATTGATCTCATATTGTTTTCATTTATACAGATTTATTATTTAATATTTCAAAATTCATATTTTATATTTTATTTTTTCATTAAGGTCGTGTTGTCGGACTTTTAAAATGTACCTAGGATCTTGAATTTAATTTTTGCTTCTCGGACTCCTCTGGGTGATAGCTTAAGCTTGTTGTCTGAGCTTGGCCAGTCATGCCATCTGTCTTGTTCACTTATCTGCTGGGATTCTACCTGCCAATGTCCAAAAGTCCCTAGGATCTTGAATTTGATTCTCCCTTATATGACTTCTCCCGGGAATAGCTTGGCCAGTCATAATTTTTTTTCATGATATTTATCACATTCACTTAGCTCATGGGATTTACCTGCCAATGCCCAAAGGTTCCTTTTATCCTTTTCCCCTAATTATTTCTGTCATGCTCTGTCTCATTTTTTATTAATCCATAATTTTGAATTTCTAGACCAGTTTCAATGATTTGCACTGATGCAAACATGTGAATTAAATCCGTGAGCCGTTTTACTGCTTTAAAAGATTAATATGTCTAAAAGGTTGTCAAGGATGTGTCTACCCCCTCTAATCTCTTATTTTCCGCAATTATTAATTTTTCCTACGTCCTATAGGTATTTTATAAGGTCTGACATATTTATCTCCTATAGGAGGAAATGAGAAATTTTGTTTGGCATTCGGCATTTGTATTGATGAGATGAGTTCACAAAACTCTTCTTTTGTCGACCAATGTAATTTGATTTTAGAATATGTTCGTCGTCGGACATAATTGTGTAAACCAGTATATAATGTACTGTAATATACTATAAATAATATAATACAATATAGTAATATAATACAATATAATACAATGCGATGAAACAGACAACATACTTGAAGACCAAAAAATCATAGTTAAAGCTTCACCAGTAAATTCTGATTATTGGGTTGTTTACATGAATAATCTTCCTGTATCCAGCTTGTGCCAGTTTTCCAACAGAGGAAGAAATTAAACCCTTTTCTTGGTTGCTGAAACTTCTTTCTTTGATCCATATACTTGTGCCTTCTCCTAAAGCATATTTATTACGCATGGTTTTGGTTATGATCTGTGACCTTACTCTCAAGGTAATTCCACTTGGGCATCTGTAAAAATTGTTCAGATGTCCATGCCCCTTTAACAAACATTTGTTAAAGCTCTTCTTCAATTGTTTCCTTGTAGTTGTTGCTGTGTCTTTGGATGACACTTGTTTTGTAATCAGATTTACTATGTTGTATAGAATCATAGTTATGTTAGCTTGCTGCTGAGTTTATCTGTATCCGATGTTCACAATCAAGTTTATTCATGGTAGCCTATGATACGTTTGATCTGAAACAGGAGTATTTCTATTAATTGTGAAATATTGATCAAATTTATTTTTCCATCTAAAGCGCTCCTTTGACCCTAAAACCATGAAAGATAACATGATGACGCCAAAATGTTTACAAGAGGATAATTAATCAGTCAGACTCAACCAAGGCAAATGCAACAAAAACTTTATTTGACCAAGAAAAATGACATGAAGGCAAGTACTAGCATCATGCATCATGGAAACCTATGTAGCACGGACACGGATCCGACACGGCCATCCAACACGCCGACACGAGGCAAATCCTAAAAAATACATAGGATAAGTGTGTTCGACACGTGTGTCCGACACGGACACGACACAACACGGCTTCATGTTATGCGTGCCTGTGTTTCATAGATGGAAACTATAGAAAGCAATAGCTCTAAAAAACTTTATGGATCGTGGACAAAGTTTTGTCATTTGCCAAACCGCGAACAGATTTCTAAGCTAAACAACATCCCGACATATACAGACAAGCTGCACCATGAAAACCATGGTTTTAAATATCGGCCGATAATCCGATATTATCGCCGAGTTATCGGATTTGGGAGCTTTCCGCTAGGATAAGTAGGATTTTTAATCGGTTATCGTTTTGAGGTTTATCGGCGATAAAGGCACTTATCGGCCGATAAGTAGGCTCTAAATATCGCCTTTATCGACCGATAAGTAGGATTTGGGAGCTTTTACTTTCTTTTCGATTTGCTCTTTGAATATTTACAAATTATGAACTATTTGTTGCTTTTGGAACTTGGTTGATTGGTGATTAGGTTATGTTTGTTTATGGATATTGATAATGGCTCATAACTACTAAATATCAACTTAGTAAATTAATTTATGAATCTCATGATTAAACAATAATTATGTAGATGCGTAGATGGTTCTTCATTCTTGATGTTATCTTATTATTTGCTTGTTTATTATTTCATTTTGACTAACATTATATTTTTTTTTCAAGCTTATGTTTGTTTATTATTTGCTAGTATATTACTCCGATAAATACTACTTATCCCCGATATATCCCCGATTTTCGCTATCTGATAAGGATTTTGACCGTCCGATAAATTCCTGATAACCGACATTTAAAACCTTGATGAAAACAGGTTTTTTGACTGTTGATGGGAGATTTTCATGGTTGTACGTAATTTTGCTTGTGGGATGGAATATTTGCAGTGAGCACTACATACGCACAACTGATTTACAAATAGAAATGCATAAGTTGCCACGGAAAATAAGGATAGATGAAGGAATGGACCGTGAAGAAGGGAGAAGGAAAAGGCATTTCATGTTTGTATGTAGATCACATCATGGTTCCATACTGTGTAGGCCCTTTTATGTTTTAAAAGGAAATTCCAATAATTATTTAGTCCTTATGTGAACTGTACCCAGTGTAGGCTCTTTTCTTTTTTAAAGGAAATTCCAATAGTTATTTAGTCCTTATGTGAACTGTACCCAGTTGCGTTTGTACCCAGTTGCGTTATTGGATAGACGAAGAAATGACATGGCAGGGGGGAAGTCCACAGGAAAGGTTTTATGGTTACATACGAATGGTTCTCCGTCTTTCCTTGGGTTACATACAATTGGTTATCTAGCAGCCATTATCCCAAACATTTTGAAGGGACTACATCTAAAGCCTATATCCCAAACCTGCTTCTCCTTTAAGCTTTCAAGAGGGAAGCCGTCTAGCTATCATATTGTTCTTTACCATCCTTTTGCTTTCTCGTCAAGCATGCAAAACCAAGCTTGTGGTTGCTGCTGTTAGAATTTTGACTCTTCATATTCTATTATGTGACATTAATAGCAATTTGAGTTTGAATTTTGGAATTAACTACTTTGGTGGTTTTTAAGACATAACTACATTGGGTAGTTATGAACTCCTTGATGGTGGGAGTTCTATAAAGAGAGTCGCTTGTCCACACACAATGAATGATCAATAATCAAGTCCTGTGATAATAATCCATCATCTCGGTTTTGTGTTGTGGAGTGGACAAGGAAGAAAAATTATCGGTAATTCGGTGTTCATTACATTCAACAATGGAAGAAGGTATGTACCATTTTATTCAATCTTGTTTTAGTATGTAAATGAGTGTTAAATTATGTTAATCATGCTATAATCGTTTTAGTATGTAAACGAGTGTTAAATTCTGTTAATCATGCTATAAGAAATCTTATAGCTACCACAAAACCTTGCTAGGTCAAGGCTTTGTCTGTAGCAAGATTTCTAATATCAGTTATTTCTTCAAAGTCATCCTATTGTTGGATATATGCAATTTTGGAGGATCTTCGTTAATGGAGAAGACAACAGGAATTAGTGAGCTTTTGAGTGATGAGTTTTTGGATTCTAAACCAATGAAGTTTTAGAATTTCTTAACTTAATTACCAATTTATGACCTCTATGAATTTTCATTTCATTCTATTCTATTTTGAAGATTCGTGAGGTTAGAGTAGGCAGGTTGATCTGTTCTTTTACTTAATTTGCCTAGGTGTAAGAATCCTTTGTTTGACTGTAAAAGAATATACATATTCTTTACATACTTAAAATTTCCAGTTTCAAAGTGGTGCTGCACACAAATTTAATCAGTATCGGATTTGTATAAAAAGAGTAGGTTTTGCAGACAGCGGACTCCATAGGGGAATAATGTATATTATATAGCATGTATATTGCTATACGTGTACAATTTTATGGAGATTCAAATCTTATGAACTACAGTTCATGGCATATCTGTTTTTGCCGGCTCAACGGATGATGTTCTGCAGAAGGAAATAGTCCTGTCCCACCTTTATACACAAGGCAATAGTGGGAGACAATAAACGGTGACTTGTACTTTATTCACCATTTTGCTACGCGACATGTCATGTAGATCTAAGATACAGAACGAGACAATTTGACCTGTTTGCGACAGAAGATATTAAGAGGACAAAAATAGTAGTTCAATCACATAGTTTGCATAAAACAGCAAATGATTTATGCAATTAGAAATAACAGGTTACTGGCTTAGGCCACTGTCGTTGAACGAGGGACTTCACCTTTACTTTTACAATCTAATTTGAGCTAGAATAGTAGTTAACAGACCTTTACTTTTCTGCAATTTGTTACGTTTGCACCTCAAACATTAATTAGATGCTTTAGCTTGTAGTTGTCTGACAAATGAACCGAGTAGAGTCTAGTGGTAACTGAAACAAGTTTTAGTTACCAGTCATAATTGCCTTTTGACTTTAAAAGCACTTGTTTTTTCTCCTGATTCTGTTAAACAAGTTTTAATTACCTGTCATAATTGCTGTTTGGCTTTAAAAGCACTTTTTTTGGGTGATTCAGCTAGTTTCTGAGCACTTATATGACTGTTATTTTGTCTCATTACAGAATCTTTTGTTCACCTGATTCCTGCATCATTTCTCATAATTATGAAGTCTCTTCCATCATATAGGTATACAATTTAAGTTCTCATTTTCTTTTGAATGCAACATTGGAACTACCGATATCATTTAAAAATATAGGTATACAATTTAAGTTCTCATTTTCTTTTGAATGCAACATTGGAACTACCGATATCATTTAAAAGCTGAACCTGCACTGCTTATGCTGGTCATGATCTAATAATTATGCTTCTTCCTACTTACTGTGTAGTTGAGATTTGAATTTTCTCTTATTCTTTGGGATTACTTGGTAGAGGATGGTACATGTCTTTTACTTGAAGCTTATCTAAGTAGAACTGCAGTTGATTGGATCTCTGTGTGATGTAACATGTACATTAGTGTCCCTCACTACAATGGCCAAGCTCTATCCCCACGAACAAGTGTTGCTATTCCACATGACACTTATTCAACAATAGGATTGACCAAATTTCTGACTTCTTATCATACTAACATCGACCCTGTAATTCACAGTTCATGCCAGTTTCTAGCAACTGATACTATTAAATTTAATGGACTCACTAGTTACATGGCTTCTCATTGTACATAAAGTGGCCACATATTGGTACCTACCTCATTTTATTTTTATTTTTTTGGGGTGGGCATGGCAGACAAGTAAAATGAGGTTCATGGTCGAGGATTCATGTGTATTAGATGACATTTTGGAAGGGGACATAAATAAATGCCCAATGAGGCAATGACCGTATTTCTGTGAGCACCATTATATGTTGCTGAATCCAATTTGTTTGTATCTTCTAACAAAATGTTCAATCAGTGGGGAAATGTGACATGCCATCAAAACTTGTCCTTGAGAACAGGGGGTTACAAGGATGTTTGGGGACAAAAATCAATATGGGGAATACTAGATGTGGACCAGCCAAGTCCTTTCAACCCAAAACAAAACCTGTTTAATAATTGGGCCATTACTAAACCTGAACCTGAGCTTATAAATGATTTAACATTTAGATGTTTCAAAGAGCAATCTAGAATATATACACACATTTGTGCTTTGCCCTTATACCACTGCCTTGGTATCTTAGCTCCTTGGGCATATACGTTGAAAGAGACAAATTTATTGTTGGAAGTTTGTCTTAGACATTTATCTCTAATATCGTGATGTCATTTTAGCCAGTGAGAGACTATAACCCTTCTCTCTGCAGGATGCTACAGACCTTAACTTCTGATAACATAAATCAGGGGGAGCATTGTTCCTTCATAAATACCTATTCTCCTAATTCGTACTTTGTATGACAAACATTTAAGTTGAAAACAGTCAATAGAAATTGCAGTGTGATATTGTCCCAGTATTTAAAAATAACTTCTCATGTGTCATTTTCAACTTACTAGGAGTTTTCTAAAATGATTCAGTTTGTAGTAATATTTTGGTATTTCGTAAATCTGATTAATCGCTTGTAATCAACAGAACTTCTTAGTAGGATGAAAGCGAGGATATCTACCTTGATCTGCATGTCCCATGTTAGGTGCCTATTTTCGACAATGGTGTTTCGAGTATTGGATTTGTGCTCCTATTTGTTGACTATTTTTATTGTTTGATCAAAGTGAAGTATCACACTACTTGGTGAGTCATGTGAACCTTATGGACCTTAGTGCTTTAATACAATGCCACAAATGTGTCGTCACATCATGTTTTGCAATTAACATCACTTTGAGCAGGATAATATCTCCCACACATTGATTTGCATGTTGGATTAGGTTCCCAAAACTGGACTAGTTTTACTTCAGAACCTCTATTGCTGATCACTTCCAATCTAATTTAAGACCTCAAATCTTTGATGTTAAAATATTAATCATTAGTTTCTATCCAAGACAAATGTCTATGGCATATCAATTTGGCTTTCTTCATGTTTTTGAGGTAGATTGATGGAAATATACCTTTCACTTTGCTTACTCTTGTCTAAGTTAGCTTTGTGTCCTTCTGTCTTTAAGAGGCCAAATTATGGAGACTTCAGTTAACACTGTTAACACTACAAAGCTGGAGAAACAATGAGATTAAGCAAAAATTATTAATGATTTCTTCATTAGAAAAAGCCGATTTTCGAAGTTGTTCTCTGGGCCTATTTATAGTCCAGCTAAAGTTTATACCCGTTTTTACAAAATTCAATAGTGAAATCTTCAAGTTCCAAACATCTTGACAGTAAACAATGGAAATGTTCCTCAACACAGCTGCATGAAACAAAATAATTCCTTAGCTGACCACGGAACTTGAGATAAAACTTCATTGTTTGTATTACCGCTCCACATGCTTTTAGGAAAGTGTTAATAGTTTTTTTTTGAATATTCCTTGAAATTATTATGGAACTCTGGTTACTGATTAATATAGCCGAGCTTAATCAATATTAGATAAGCAAAGCTGGTTTAAAGATCAATCTGGAGCTCCTTGATGAGTTAGATTAAAAAGGTGAACATGTTTTACCGAGTTGAAGTCAGAGTGGTTTGTTCATGATCAACTTGCTTGGATGTATGGCTTAACCTGGTGCTACCAGGGACTAACTGTCAAAATCATTCTTCATGTAAGATTCTGGATTAAGGGCAGAAGACTAAAACATTTACTATTGGATAATGCATTGTTGCATGGTGCGAGCCCCAGAGCTAAACAACAACAGAAATTCTATATGATTGCGAGGAGACTATAATACACAGTCTCCATATCAAATCCTATCATGTTACGCTACTGTTAGACCAGCATTTAGCTCCTTTGGAATAAACTGAAGCCTGCTTGACTTTTAGAAGCTCTATGAACCTTGTAATCCGTTATTTTCAATATTTCAAATTTCATAACCAGTAGTATTCTCTACAGGCATTCTTTGTTCATATGAATTAATGTGAGTAGTATACTAGTATCACTATCACTGCAAGGGTAGTAGCTTTTGCGGACGATTTATAGTTGTAGATGTTTATATAATGCGTGGTGGAAAGCACATTTTGCCTCTACTCTGATAGCTTTGAAAGTTTTCAAAAATATGTTTTGTTTATTCTTTTCCTAGAAATTATTATTTTGAATAGTTCAGGAACTTCAAAAGCTCTTGTATGCTGATCAATGGTTTCAAAAAGAGTTGTTTTTTTATTCATGCCCTTTAGGACACTTGACCCTTGATAATTGTGGTCATTTATACTGCAAATTTTCAACTAGGGGTAAAATTTATTCCTTTTCAGGGATTTCTTTGGAGCGGAGGAGCTTCTTCACTTTATTAATATCAGGTTCAGTAGAGTGTTTTTCCAAGGACTCAATTCGTTCATCTGGTAATTTTACTTTATTCTGTGACTTTAGAGCAACCCATTTCTGTCAGTTGATATATCAGGTTGGTCTTTCTGTTCTGATGCTGTAAATCCTGACTTCTTTTCTGCTGAACTTTGTCAAATTTATTTGGAGTAAGAATCCAAATTGTTTGAACCAAGAATTTATCAGTAGTTCAGATCCTTTCAAAAATTTCTAGTTCTTTGTCCTATTTGTAAATCTATAGCCCAGTTATAGCTAAAGCATGTTTGATAATTTAATGGCATTGTAGTTCATCATCTGAGGAAAATGGCTTCTCATGCACGAGACTACCTCAAGACTTTAGCTGTGCCTCCTAAACAATGGCCTATAAGTGAACTATTTTGTCATAACTTTTATGAATATGAACTTATGACATTAGACTGGGTACAAAGGATGATCATTTATCAATTATGCTGTGGAATATATCTATAGTGGTATCAGCAAGATCTGATTGAAAAAACTGTGGCTATTCTGGAAAATAGTAGTTGGACATCTAAGACGATAATTTATTATGACGTAGAAAAGCACATTTGGCTATTGACCTCACATCAATTGTTTATGTTGATACTGGTTTTTTTATTGAAAAATTGCTGAAAGGACTTACAAGGTTTCTGAATTTTTATTCCTCTAAATTGAATAAGAATTTTATGGGCATTCTGATTGGATTAGATATTTTAGGCCTTATATCATTGGTCCTTTTGATGTGCGTTTATCAATATAGGTTGTTTTTCCTGATAATATTGCTCATCATGTAGCAGTTAATGAGCTATGTGGTAAAACCAAACCATCTGATTCTGTGTGTCTATTGAGATAGACATGTAAAATCTTTTCTTTGTTGACCACTTCTGATGTATGCTTCACATTATCAATTACTAGTTCATCTTCCCAATTCCAAGTTCAAGATCCTTAAGTGCATTACTCTTACTTTAGTCCCTTGCTACTAAAAAATCCTTCAATTTATCTATTATCTTTCTCGCTTACATAGCTTATCTTCCAAGCTCGAAACTGTCCTTGGTTAACAAAACAAGTAGTTCATACTTGGTTTTAATTATCTGCTTTATTTGCTTGTTATTTATTTCTCAAGTAGGCATCCGTGATGACTTCATTTTAGTTATCCTTGCACTCTGATCCTCAGTGAAGATACTCTTGGGAAGATATCGTCTGAGATGCCTGAATATACAAGTGTACACATAAATATGCCAACATATTGTCACTAAAAAAATTCTTTCTGTTTTTAGGGTTGTAATTTGACCCTTCATGGAGATAGGACCTCTTCACACATATAATGAAAATAGTAGTGTTTGAAAAAGCTTTATGAAACTCGCTTCAAAACTTTTTGAAGGGTAATCGCTTCGAAACTCATAAATGAAGCTATTTATCCCTTGAAGCCCCCGCTTCATCACTTTAACCATAACTAAAGTGTGCTTCACGTTACATGAAGCGCTTCTCTTTTGGAGCACACACTTCACACAAGGTAGGAGGGTATAAAAGAACGTTTGACTAAAAATCAGATACATATCTTATAGTATACGTGCAGCTTAATTTATTATGACTTGCATTAGTACTTAGCATATTTAATTCTTATTTACTAATCAAGACTTGAATGTATCTATATTAAAATTTTATACTGCTATATATGTTTTATAATATTTATAAATTAAAATATACTTAGCTCATCAGGCTTACGCCTCACGCTTTGAGGCTTACGCATTGCTTCATAAAAGGGTCTAATGCTTCGCCTTGCGCAGTTGCGCATCCTCTTTTTTAAACGTTGGAAAATACTTTTTTGTCACTTAAATACTTTTTTGATTTGCCGCTTCTCGGATAAAAACATTCACTTGTTTTATTCTTTATATTTTTCTGTTGGGCTTTGATTTTCTATCTTAACTCTTTCTTAGTCCTGATTCCTCTGCTTTACTATTTCCATTCTAAGACTCATTATTTCTGCTAAATTATTGTAGCCAGTCTGTGGCACTGTGCATAGAAATAGATAGGTACTCACTTGACAACTAGTCATGCAGGGGTCTTAAAGGAATTCTGAAAAAGTGTTAGTCGTTCCTTAAAAAAGGTAGCAGGTTTAAGAGAATATGATTGACATATCAAGGGTTACATATCTCCTTGTTTTCTTTTCATATGCAAGCCTTTTTGGACATTTGGGCATGTTTTAACCGTGTTGGATGTGATTATAAAATCAATTGGGAGCCTATGTGTTGAGTTTGTGCAAAAGACCTGCCAATATTTTATGGTAATGGTTTGAACTGGAATTTCTACCTTTGACCAAGCAACGCTTTACCCTATACCTTGTATGTGAGCTGCATATTGATTTTTCTGTTTATTTTATGTTAATGAAAACACATTCAGCTGCATGATTGTGATATTAGTCTTTTTAGCAGATAATGAAAAATGATCTAATGAAGTGTATATTAGCATGCCATGAGCCTTCAACTTTCATGCAAACATGCTAAATGTCAAGATTTGAGTGCAAGGAAGAAGTGTGTTTATCCATTTTTCTAGTAGCAAACCTACCATGTGTATGGGGGCAAAAGTTGATGGAATAGTAATCCAATATGTCACTATGTTAGTAACTATTAGCTCAAATTTGGTTTGGAAAAGCATTTATGAGAAATCGAATACTTTTATTCATATTGTAAATTTTTGGCATTTATTTTGATACTTTTGTTTTATTTAATATTCCCTTTATATGTGATCCTTTGTGCTCTATGTTATTATGCAGACATGGTCAGATCAATTTTGCTTCTCATATAGATTTTTTCCGACGTGTATACTTATCTTGAGAGAGATAGAGTTTCAATCTCTCTTTCTCGATAGATCTTTCTCAAATTGATTTTTATTCTATGCTATTAGTTTGAATAACATCCAATATTAATTTAAGCGTCAGATTCAAGATTGTAAACAAGTACAAAGACAAACACCTCAAATTTTATTTGAATTCTGGTCTAATTCTCATTCAAGGTAATTCTACTTGCTTGACAAAAGATTCACCTAGGTGATGTATTTGCCAATAACTACTTACCATATATGCAAGTGTATTTGCAAGCAAAGGTTCATTAGTATGCTTCTGTTGTTGCACAAAAAATGACACAAAGGAGTTTGAAGACTACACTGATGCATGCGCACAGTGTCAGTTCATTATCCACATGGGAGTTTGAAGACTATGCTGATGCATATGTACAATGTTAGTGCATTATCCTGATTTTTCCATCTTGTTTTGATTTTTACATTCTGCATCACAGATAGTTTGCTTTTCCACTTTCTTTTTGTCTTTTTTTAGTTTTTTGTGTGCAGAAAGCTGCTTCCCCAGCAGAAAGGAGTTTAAAGACTTGCAAATACAACGTGCAGAGGACTTGACAGCAGCATGTTCTCGGAGGTTAATTCTGTATGCCCACCATGCAATTCTCCTTTTTTTTCCCTTTTCCTTTTATTTCTTTGTAGTCTTGAGAAAATTTTATCATTGTGAACTAGTTTTCTTGGATGTCGTCATCTAATTATAGATCATATAAAGCTTATGAATGTATACTGTTGTACTGAAGGTTTTAGTCATTCGACTATATTCTCAGTTTCGAATGCTAAGGCATAAATATTCTGCAAGTCATGAATCTATTTTCCAGGAAATATGCCCCTTTATTACACTGTTTTTTTGGGCTTTATCAACTTTGTGATGTAATCTTTCATACGAGTGAATAAATTTACAGGTTGCTTTATTGGAATCTAAAAATGTTACATTTATATTGATTGTTTTAATACTATGCGACGACTTCCTGCTTTCCAGTGCGGTTCTTGTTTGATAGCATGTACCGTTACGCCCGTGATTAGCAATGTCTTGTAAAGGGGTATTGTATGCAAAAAGTGTTGGAATTGAGGTGTAGATCAAACCTCGATTCAGGCGAGAAGCTCGAGGTCGACTCAGGTGAGGTCGACGAGGGCGAGTTTGGGGGCGGATGCAACTTGCAGGCGAGGTCGGAGCTTTGGCGAGGTCAGAGCTTTGGCAAGCTCTAGAGTCCCACGCAGGCGAGTTCGAGACTTCCGCAGGCGAGCTCGAGGCAGGCGGATTTTGCACAGGCGAAGTCCACGCGACTTATAGGTGACATCGACAT